AAGTTGATAGATTCTTCGTTGGAATGGCAGCAGGTTAGGTCGGTAAATTTGATTGTGAATTTGTAAGGAAGGCAGTTCGAAATACTGATGTATTGCAGCTTGTGTGTCTTATGGATCGTCTCAATGTAGATCAGATCAACGGAATTTGTTTCCGTCCCACTTCGTACTCTACCGCACTCTCGTGTCTTGATAGTAGTTCAACAAGTAGTTCAATTGCGATGATTCGCAAGGGTGAGTGTACGTCACCAAAAGTAGTCAACAGTTGCGATGATTCGCAAAGGTGAGTGTGCATTACCAAAAGTAGTCAACAGTTGCGATGATTCGCAAGGATGAATCATAAGTCCACCAAAAGTAATACAAGACTGAACAAGTTGCCTCAAAACTGCCAGAAAGAAAGGAATGGAGGAAGTTCAGGTCATGAAGATGTCACCATAAAGGATCAATCAGGACAGTTTGTTATTTGGAAAAAATAGTGATTGGTGAGATGGTTCAGCGAATGAGATCGTGAGACCTCATTCTTTGCCTCCATTCTAAGGTTGTAAATATCGTTTGTTAATAAAGTGACCCAAACGCTTGAATGATTTGAGTCCTTCAAGTACAAATTGTTAAACTTAACAAAATATTTCAAGGTTCTTAAAATTGGTGAAATGGACTAAAAAATGGACTAAAAGTTCCATTTTCATATATGCAACTGCCACCAAAAATGGAATTCATATTAACGATTTACTGTCCCTCCATTACAACGAATCGTTTATTAATATTTTGATGTTTTATTTTCAAACAGTGGATTCACTTGTTGTTAAATATGAATAAACTATTACATTACGATTAATAACAAGTACTACATACGATTCTGTACGAAAGAAACGTTACAAAAAGTAGAAACAAAATACACAAAGAATAGTGTGCTATTTTTAATGTCTGATATCTTTTCTTAGTAGCAGGAGCAATGTCCAGCGATTCCTTCATAACATTCAATTTGATTCCGCGCAAATATTGCGAAACGCACCGGTCCCAATCTATTCTTCCCAAATCGAAAGGAAACTCTTCATAATCTGTTGGGTTCATGTGAGGGAGAATATTTTGACTGTTATTGACTTCAAGAATCCATTCAGTAGTAATAAAGTAGAATAAAGGATCGGCAAGTTTTGTGGCCTTCCACGCTACGTCAAGAGCTCTGTAAATATAAATGAGAATCATAAGACTTTGAAAAATTCTAATGTGTTGAGAAGTTAACGCGTTTATAACACTGAATATTTCATTAGATGATACTGTGCTCATTCGATAGCTACTCAGTTTAGAGGCTTTAGATAGAGGTGCTGCCATGAAATGGGTATTTATATATAATTTCGTAACAGTGTAGTGAAAACTATAACAACTATAAAAACTGTTAAACTTTGTACTACGAAATTTGCAAATGAAAATTCTTTCATTCAAAAATGTATTGAGAGTCCCACAATAAAATTAATTAATGCGATTTTTCGTTTCATAACAAAATCTTGTTGATTTTCTTACAGTACTCGAAAATGCGAAGGGAGAGCCTTAGGGCCCGCGTTCCGTTTGTAATACCAATTCGCCTGCTACGTTTCCTATTAAACCTTGCTGATTTCTCGAGAAATTGGTCGCGCGCTCTCCTCCGATTCTTGTTATGCCGTCTTCTCTCTGCGATCGAACCTATGTGTCGCGGCATGCCGTGCGCCAACATAAGTGGCTCGCCAATATCCAGTATGAAACGAAGCGGACCACATTTGTTACCGGTACGCGTTGGGAAACATCAAAATCAGGAGACGTCGCAGAGGAATGTCGATTTTTCTTCTTGGCTTTTTTACATTCGCATCCAAACAATTTATCGACATACGACGGAATCAATACGTAGGAACGTTCGACAGACACTTTACTTGGAAACCCAGAGTATAACTTCTGATCTACTACACCCGAAAACTTTTCTAGTTTGTAATCGATAAACTAAATATGTTTGATCTGTACTCACAAGGGACCATCCCGAAGTGATAATCTCCGATTTTGATGAAACTTGGATATAAAGTAGTTCTCGAAAAAATATTCCACACGTATTTTTTTTTAGCTGCTACAAAGACTTCATTCTATATAAAATATTTAGAACTTTTGGAAACATTGGGATTTTTTAAGAAACTCAGAAAATAAAAATAAATTAAATTATTTTTTAACAATATTGGCCACAAATGCCTATGTTCCTTTCGGCGTTGATTCTAACCGCGTCACGCTCATACCTGCGACGCTTACAATAATCATTCAGAAATCAATTAACGGCATATATAGAGGTATAAAATCTCTAAAATAATGTAAAAGATTGTAAAAATAATGATATTTTTAATAAAAATGCTGATTGTGATAATCTCCGATTTTGATGAAACTTGGATATAAAGTAGTTCTCGAAAAAATATTCCACACGTATTTTTTTTTAGCTGCTATCATTCATGTTAAGGGGGTGAAAATAGCCCTCGAAGTTGGGGGTTGAAACCATATTTTTGGGAATATCTCCGGAACTAAAGAAGATAATTGAATTCTTTTTTTTTGTAAATTGTTCGTCTTTAGATAGGAAATGTTTGTGCCAAAAAAATTTCAAGAAACTTTATTTGTTTAAATAATATTTAAAAA